CTGATGAAAACCAATTAGCTCTCTAAATCCTTTAGTACAGCAGATTTAGAGGAACATGCATTGGTGATCTCACATTTAAACAGATCCCCTAGGACACAACATCACACTGTGGACACAAAACCCATCTCCAGTACAATAATATAATGTAATGCATTATATCTGTACAACTTCCATTTCACCATCAGTATGTTTTTGCAGGCTCCAAACAAACAGTAGCATTTATGTGTTATTTTCACTTTTCATTAGATTTTTAATTGGGCCAGATCATTGTATGTTAGGAGCATGAGTGGGACTCAAATGCAGGATACTGACCAGAGTTGTGTTGCTAAGAGAATAGTTTTTATTGTAAAAGAAGATTGGGATTAGGGGTTTATGGTAGGGAATTGAAATCTGGTAGCAGCAGAGGTTAATGGTGGTTATAGAGGAGTATGGCTAGCATGAGCAGGGGTGAATAAAGGGAAGCATGGCTGGCTGGGGATTGCTGGCAAGCAGACAGATGAGCAGGAAGACTGGCAGGTGGGTGATGATCTTGAAGCAGAAAGAAAATCAGGTTAGAGCACGGAAAAACACGAGGAGGAGAAGTCACTTGAACAAACTGAAAAAAGTTTGGTCAAAAGCATAACTACCACTATGATTGAACAACAATCTGATGAGGCGTGAATGAAGAGAGTAAATATACTGCAGGTAGATGAGCTAATGGTAGGCAGATGTGTACCCTGGAATGGATGATTGCCGATTGCGGGCCAGTTGTGTGAGCTAACCAGAGCCAGGAAAGAAGACCACACCCACGACAACAGGACCACAGCCATAACTTTGTATGATCACCTGAACACCTCACAAATAAGCCATGGTCATATATTTTTGTCCTAACTTCATGAATGGACCAGGACCACCAGAAAGTGGAACAGCTTACATGCATCACTGATCACATGTCAGTGGATAACCAACTTTCACCTTGCAACATAACACAAAAGGAAAAAAAAGTAGGACACCGTTCTATTTTCCAGCCAACAAAAGTTAAAGCAAGCCAAAGTTGTGTACTAAGAGTTTTTTTTTTTTTTTCAAACGGTTGACCCTTGATTTGTTTTGCAGTCTACAGTGTGTTTTAGCCTTAAGTGTCTGCACATAGAATGGGGGTTGCAAGAGAATACACCAATTGTGTCCTTTAAATTCAAGCATAAGTGGGACCCATTTCTCAGGCTGCATTCAGTGGAGCTTTTGGAAGGGGACAGCCTTGTCATATTTGATCTAGAAACACAGACTTCAAAAGATGCAGCCCATAAATTGGGCCACCGTAAACATGTATACAGCAGCCTCAACTCAATGACGCACATGCTGGAGAGTTCATGATTATTAATTGGGCTATATCACAAAATACAAAACCCTTACCCATCTTTACACATTATATGCTGTGGCTTGATTAGCCATGTCTTTACATGATTAGGCTTAGTCACTGATAATTTGTTTATATGGCCATCGAGGGATAGCTCCTCGTCACTTAATGTGTTTATATTACTCATAAATATGGAGGACAATACAGTCTGAAATCCCATGACTAATGTCTACTGACTGGCCTGAATGTTTGGACAGAGTCTGTTTGGAAAGACTGTCTGTAGAGTACCCTGCAGAAACATTTCAACCTTATGTAACTGCCTTTGAATTCAAAGCCTTTATGACAAGGATGATGAATCTCTTGGAAACTGCTGATATTCCAGTTGTAATTTTTGGGATGATATCTCTTTTCTCCTTCTCACTGTTTCCTTTTCTCTTTGGCTTCCATTTTCTTTTATTTGAGATTATCAATTAATTACTATAGAATGTTATTGTTTGTTTCCTGCAAACTAAATTATGTGTTGCTGCTGTGTCGGCCTGGGCTTGGAATAAGAATCCCTTAATCTCATATGGATCATCCTGGGTAAATAACAGTTGATAAAATAGTGAGTGCTTAGTATGCTCTTGCGGAGGGAGATGAGCTTCTACATTTCTTCAGCCTTATTGCAATAAATGACACCAGACTCCAATTGCTTTCTGACTGCCCTCTGGTGTCAACTTCAGTTGAAGACTTTTTCCTCTTTAGGTGAAGTCAGTCTTCCAAATTGCTTGTTGGACATGGGTTAAAATGATTATTCGCTCATGGGAGAATGAGTGAAGGATGATGCGTAAACGTAAAGGGTTGGGAGTGGAGTGTAGAATTGTCAAATAGACTACCTTTCCTGGATGTCCTTACTATTTTTTACTAAATAAAAATATTAAAATACAGCATATGTTTGGTTACTCAACATTTGATGAATCGTACCAGAGCAGTTTTCTTTGTTTGAGCAACATTAATATGCTATTCATAATACATGTGGATTCAAACCCCCAGTCCACTCTTTTCTTGATTAATAAATGAATCATTTGGGCTATCACCACAGTGTCATCACAATTTCCTAAAGCCTAAGTTCATCAAAGTCTGAAGAAAGCCATGCATTTCCTAATTAATGACTTTAAAATTTTTGAACTTTGAACTGTTGACCTTACTGATGAAATATTCCTTTATAGGTTCAAAAATTCCAATTCCTCTATATATAAATACGCCTTCAAAAAAACAATTGGATTAGCTGAAACATGCATTATCATAAAGCAAAAAAACAAGGCAATATTTCTTAGACCATTACATTTTATGTTCTTGAGATACAATAGATTGCTTGTTTTGTCTAACCAACAGTCCAAAACCCCCAGGTACTAAGTTTGCTATCATAGAAAACTCAGAAAGAAACACATTTACATTTAAAAAGCTTTTGACATTTCTGCCAAAAAAAACTGACTTAAACAATTAACTAATTACCAAGATGGCTGCTAATTACTTTTATGTTAGCTGAGTAATCAATTAAATGACAAACAATTTAAATTTGAAACTTCGACATGTATGTTTTTGAACAGGACATGCCCTAAGAAATCAAATATTATATTTCCTTCACACAATCAAATATTGGAGCATGGATGACCTTCAAGATAACTGCACTTTCTGTACTGATAACAAAAACTCACATGAAATGGGTGGCATCTAACAGCAAGAACCAGTTAGAGTTTAATATCTACCTGGCAACAGATCCTGTCATCACATGGATGCCACTCGACTCCTATTAAAATCCGCCGCAGCGACTGTTTCCTCCTCCTTGGACTAGCTTGGTCAAGGTCACTGAAAAAAGAATTCCACAGGGTAACCTTGTCAAACTAAGCTGCATGTCTCCACAGAGTTTGCTTGGATTACACTAACACCATGGGTTGATGGCATTACTTTCAAAGTGTAATAAAGTCACACTTGAGTCAGGAAACAGGCACAATTATCTGCTTAGAAATACATGTTGCATTATTCAGGTATGTAATAATGGTAATAGAATATTTTATAATTCATTTACCGCTATTTCTTTGTCTTATTATGAACAGCTCATAGTGGAGAACAGCAAGAGATTATTATTTTAGGTAAAAAAACTGAAAGGAAAGTTAACTCACAAAATGCTGAGCAGCTCAGAGACCAAGTTGTTCAATCTAATAATAATTACAGCAGTCCCACATATGAGGACTGTTGGTGACAGGTATGTAGAGGAGAACTGGATATTAGCTTCCAAACGTACCAGAGACTTCCACACAATCACTGCTACTTCTAATTTACTGACATTTCAGTGAGGAAAAATGACTCACAGTCTGTATGTCATTTCAAACAATGGGAGACCACTTTTATCTATAGCCTACGCACCTGCAGACATTAATTCAAACAGTATTTTTCCGTAAAGATTATATTTCCTATATAATGATTGAAATAATGAACAGCAATATACAAAAATCAAAGATTTGTTATAAATGCATCGCAATTAGATGTTCATTTCAGTATAAAACATGGATATGTGTTCATGGATATATGCAGAAGTACAGCTTAGTGTGCCTGCTGAATTTCTTTTACAACCAAAATAATGAGGTTGTGTCTCAGTATACGATACTGACAATATGACAAGATCAACCTTGAATGGATCTTCTGTTGCTTCATACCATTGTGGTTGTACACTCACTGTCTACATTGCTACCCTCATATGCCTTATTGAACCACTGTGTTTCCACCCCAGAACAGACAAACCAAACATTGTCTCCAAATAGGACCTTTTGTGTTTTTTTGCGAGTTTTGCAGCCACCATAGTCAAATCATTTTGTGTTTCTTTCTGGTTATAATTGAAGTTACATGCCTGTTTTTTCTGCTATGTAAGTAAATAAACCTTTTTTTATTATCCATAACATTAATAACTCACATTTTGTTGTTTTTAAAGAGCCGTTAATCAATTTAAGAATGACAGTAAGTTCAAATCTTGTGTTTGGAACTGGGCTCACCCTTCCATTAGTTGACATGTGGGTTAGCATTGTGCTTTTAATTACTTAAAATATATGAATACCTGAGTAAGAGTAGAGAGCTTTTTACATAATTGCAAAACAATCCATTGGTAAATTTGAGACACACTGTCACGTTCACCAAATCTATTTTTGATTAGCAAGCCCTTCATTATTTATAGAATGTCAACCACATGACATTACAGGTTTGCAAACATTGCATTTTGTCTGGAAACTAATTACTGGTGAAAAAAAGTTAATTGTGTGGTGATTCTTTCACACAGACCTGAGAATCAGTTTTCATTCATTAGTTCCAGATTGCCTTTAAGCAGTTTTGTAAAACTGTTAAATGTCTGAACAGCTGGCGACTCAGAGCGCACCGCCTGGCGCCCACAGCTCTCCACGCTGATAAGTGCTTAGAAAGAGGTAGGGGCTATTCATTCAGGGCTGAGACTCGCCATATCCTCAACAACCCAGAGAGCTGTAAAGTAAAATGAAAGAAGCAGTATCCTGGTGATCTAGAGCATTAATAACTCGGTTTATGTTACAGTTATATGCGTCCTGGTGCGATTAGGCGCACAAGAGAAGGTAACCGCACATGGGCGAACATTTGTCCCTTTGAGTCAGTGACCGAAAAATAATTGTGATAAAGTTAACCCAGCGACAGAAGACTAGCGGGAAGGTAAAATGTCTAATTCCGCACCCTATCATGGGAACACATGGAGGTCTTCTGGGGTGGCACGTGGAAAGAGACCACCGGATTTGGAGCTGTCGGAAACCACCTTTAGAGCGCCTGAAGCACGGACACCTGTGGGCAACGACACTTTTTCTGACAGAGACAAAATGCCTGAGGACGGTAACCATACCACCGACGTCCCCCCTGTTCACATCCACCCGTACTTATCTCATCCCCGGATGTCTGTGCGTATGTCGGTGTACAGCACCGGGGTCCGTCCGGTCCTCACCCGCGCCTACATCCAAGGACGCGTGTATAACTTTCTGGAAAGGCCGTCTGGCTGGAAATGCTTCGTGTATCACTTCACAGTGTGAGTGTTTTTATTTTCATAATCATCCAGATCCATTGGGTATTCAAGGGTATAATTGCAACTCTAAGATCCTAATTAAACAGGGAGTTAATTGCGCATGTAGAGCCTTGGAAGCCCTCACTACAAAGAACTGTTAATCCTGTGAATTTTAGAAAGATGCTGCACAGATATCACAGCACAACTGGAGGTCCCTCTAGGAATATTAAAAGGATATTTTAGTCTAGCCGTAGCAGATTAAAAAATACCATATAATTCATCACAGACACAGAGAATCTCCAACAAAATACGTCCCCATAGGAGCACTAGAAGAATATTATACAGATCATTCATTTGGGAGAGTGTTTTCTTCAGCACCATTGAGCGTTTCATTTTCCAGAACTTTCAGAACTGTGAGTGCAGCAACACAGAAGTGGCCCTGGGTTGCATTCAGTCTGAATCAACAAGAACTAAACCAATTTCACTGGACAGGGAATCTTTTTCTTGACACTCCCTGACACTATGACAGGTATGTGAGACTATCTGGTTATATGGTATTTTTTTTAAATAAAATCTAAAGAATACAGCTACTAGTAATGAACATTGGAGTAATCCAGTGTGGATGGATTTTATCAGCTAAATCTCCAGTATCATGAATATGTCACTTTATGGGTAAAGCTGATGTGACAGTTTTGTCAGGCAGCTTGACAATCTGTCTTTTTTGACAAATGAAATGTTGTTACTCATGATAATTACTTGTCTATACAACACCAATGAAATGGCAAAGGATACATTTCACAGTTTTTGTCTCTTGGTGTAACCCACATCCGGGAAACTTGACAGTCCAGTAGATCCAGACTGGAGTGTTCAGGCAGAGCTTTAGGAATGTGGGATGTGATCTTTCAGCTCACCCCCATGTGTGCTCTCTGTCCCCACTTGCTGCCACTGATAGCAGGCAGCTAAACTTGGCAGTGTATGTGTGCTGTGGAGGAGGTAGTGGCCCTGTCTGGCGATGCCACCCTGTGACCCCACAGTGTCGGCGGGGACGCAGGGGAACGCAGCCTGTCGGAGCAGGTTAGAGTCTCAGTGACTCAAAGGGAGCATGAGCCAACACAGTGCAACTCAAACACATTAGAATGTTACCAAGAATAACCGCACAATACACAATAATAGGGGAGCTAGTGGCTGCTATGAATACAGGAAAATATGTTTAAACATGTTGAGTGTACATCAGGTGTAGACTAACAAGTTGCAGTGCCTTTGCCTTCCTGTATTACAACTACATGCTGATTAAAGGTCAGACTGCATGAAATTACAGGAAACACCGTAGTCTTTCTTAAAATACAAAATCTATATGTTTTTCATAAGCCACAGTGTCAGTACCAAATTTAATGTCTTTATTGGTATATACCGGTTTTGGTTGTTTTCATTGAGATGTTGAGGATGAAGGATGAGGTGTTTTGATGTTGCCTTTGCCTTGACTTGACTTTTCAGTCTGTCACTCTCACACCCTGTTTCCCCAGGTTTGAAATAGCTGGTTTCACTAAAGGTAGGTAAAGGTCACATTAGCCTACTGTTGAACCATTGTCCCAGTTTCCACCCCTGAAAAGGATATGATGTCAGAGGGTTTCTTTGTTTGTATTAAATACAACAAACAGTAAGTGATCACAAACTATAAAAAAAAAAAAGTCTATGAGGGCAACGCTGCAGTTTGTAGTTTAATATCGCAAGATTGTACATTTTCAAAGTTGTCCACTGGTGCCAGCCAGGTGCTTGCAGCGAATAAGGAAGAGAATCTGCAAATTTGTCCTTTGCTTGGACTTGAATTGACGTGAATGGGAGACAGGGCCAGTGTTTGTAGAGGTCTTAGGTGATGTAATGTGTAGTTTTCATTACGTAGGTTCAATTTGATAGTGTATCATAGTGTATTTTAGACAAAACTCACTCATTTCTATAATTCAACCAGGTGTTTGTTGAAAGAGCATGTTGTTGTGATGTCTCTCCACCCAGCAGGGTTTTTGGGGTCAGTTCAGTACCTTGTTTTGCAAGTGTTTGAGCGGGAGAAAAGCAGTTAAGAACAACCATGGCTTTATCACTAACCCAGAAATCGAACGTCAGAGTGACCCAAGGCCTTATCAGAGGTACCCTTGTGTGTGCGTGTTTGCACATGCATATGTTTGTCAGTTTGTGTGTGTGTGGTGATATAGTATTGATATAGTATGCTTACAGGGACAGGGTTAAAGGAAAGCAGTAGATCACTTCTCTGAAAAGGAGCATGGTATATATTTAGCTTTATGCAATAAATAAAGTATATCTGATGCTCCCACTGTACGTCTGTCTGCAGTGTGCTACATTCAAACCGTAAATGCAGTATTTTAGTCTGGAGCAGCGTGGATCCATCCCACATGCTGGTTATAGATGAGTCTACCAGGAGAGTTAAGGGAAAGCTCAAATCAAAAAGTGTTTGAGACATCCATTAAACTTAACTAGATATTCTGTCAAATAGTATTAAACGAGATAAAGTCAATTCAGACCCATTTAATGATTTAACAAACAAACGAAGAGTTTGTGCATTGTTAGTCTTTTCGTTTTGAGTAACATTTTTGACTTGAGCAGTTTGTATCCTGTCCTATATTTTCGAGTCCACTCTTTTATCTGTTCCTCTCTCCACAAAACACTGGAGTTCAGATTCTTAATGGAGCACATCGACAAGGTCACTCATTGGTGACAACCTTATATGTCTGAGCTGTTAACCCCATACTAGCCAAGGTTTTGGCTGAGGCTCAGACAAAAGCCTCTATTGGCTGTCCAAATTACAGTCAAAAGGGTAATTGGGCCTTAAAACCTCACTTTAATACTAATTAACATGTAATATATTATCTGTTCTTATTCATCTAAACCTGTTTTGTGTTGCATTGCTTTTGGTTGATTTACCTTTTGTCTTGTATCACTCTAAAGCACTTCACAATAGTGATAAAAATAAGTATTATTGTTGTTTCAAACAGGATATTTGATGGTAACAGCCAGTGACATTCTCAGCAGCGTCACTGCTAACTCTTATCCTGTCCCCTGCTTTGTCTCTACACTCACACTGCACAACACACTGCAAGTGAATCTGTCCATCAATAATAGATAGGAGCAATGCTTTGAGCTTTTGTTTTGAGTTCAGTGGTGCTATGTAGCCGAGCCAATGTATTATTTTGTCTGTTGCTAAACCAAGCCCACTGGAGGTAGGAAATGAAATATGATGGTGCAGTTAGTAGAGAGGGACTGACGACTCAGATCGTCTCAGATGGATTAGAAGTGAAGCAGAAGTCTATGCTCAGCATACTGAGTGTGTATGTTTGCAGGCATTTCAAATGCTCTGAGATCATTTAAACTGAGCTTCACTGACAAATTACAACCATTAGCATACCGGAGCGTTTGGTTGGGAAAGTCTGTTGCTCGTTTGTACTTCTTTTGATCCTCTTTTTAACTTCCTCTGTCACATTTGAACACAAGATTTTAAAAATTACACTCAGTCCTAACTTTTGAGCATTTTATGTTTTCGCTCAATGTACCCTGCTCTTCTTAATAGACTAATTTGCTCCCATTTACACACAGGTAGCAGACTGTAGATGTCACTTTGAAGAGGCAGAAACCAAACTACAGTGTCATTTTGCTGAGCTGTATTGTCTGCTCGTTCTGTTCTTTCAGTCAGGAACGGCTGTTAGCTGTGTTGCACACCAGTCCATCTTCCCTGAGCAATTCTTTCTCTCTCTGTCTTTTATCTGTGTTGACGTGTGGCGTGCACGTCCAAGTCCATGTGTGTGTGTGTGTGTGTATGTGTTAGTTTGAAGGGGGTATTTGGATTCCTGGCCAGTCTTCAATAAACTCAGGCTGTAGCATGTGGTGATAAGGGCCTCCATGGTGCAAACACTGACTGGAAACCATAACTCCCTCTACACATAGTTTCCATCAAGTGTGCTCATATAGGAACAAGACAGTGATTCTTTAGGGTTGTTTTCTGAGCAAAAGTTCAAAACAATATCAACTAGATGACAGTTGAGCAAATATTTCAAGTTTAAGTTAATATTTAGTTTCTTCCGTGCCCAGTGTCTCTCAATGGGACATATTGTTCAGATTTAAGTTACACTGTTTATGTAGTTGTTGCATGTCATGCTATTTTTCCTTTTACTAATTTCCTAATAATCCTAAATCAAAAATGTACCAACAATATAATTTATATGATAAATATAATAATCCAAACATTTCTTGCCCACACCATTTGGGATTTCCATCTAATTAGATTTTAGATAGACTAGATTTTTTTCTTTATTAACTACACCAAGTCCGGAAATAATTACTATCAACACAGTTAAATCTAAACAGGAAACATGCTTTCCAGTGCCTCCATGATTTTTGATTGGGCCAATCATGATTGTTTGTTCTGTCAGATGATTGGCAAATAAACTGTGATGGTGCCAAGTGAATCCATTCAGAAGGTCTGCCCTTCACCATGACATCTTTTGCCAACGGAAATGAAAAGTTAATGAGCTTGCCCTTGCCACAATGCCCAGTGCACATAAACAGATATCCTGCTAACAGACAAGTGGGTGAAATATAGGCCGAACTTTAACTCCAATAACGAGGCAATACTGCAAAAATAAAAACAGGAACTGAGGCTGTTCCTGGTTTGACTGGCTGAAACAAGTAAGTACAAGGTTAGGAGTTTGAGAATGGCTCATCACCTATATTGCAGTCAGCCCTGCTTTTCCATTTCTTTCGCTACCATCAAATTGAACAGGATCTCTCCCTCTTACTTTTGAACAGCTGTGAAAAATGACCACTATAATGTACTTGGGGTTACAAAGTGCTATATAGAAGCCTTTGTTGTAAATATAAGCCACTCTTTTTTTCTAAGTAACAAAAACATGGTGAGAAAAAGATTCCTGAAATCCTCTTGGTCTTTAAATTTGTAATTACTGCTGAAGAGTAAAAAAGACTCCACATAACAGAGTGTTTTTGGTGTAGGGTCACAGCAGCTATAAAATATCTTTCTCTTAAGGAGAGGAGTTACAGGCGTCTTATTGTTGCTGCAGTTAAAACACTTGTGACCTTGAGGGGGAATAAGGAGAATGTTAAGGAGCAGTTTAACGTTTGTTGATACTGTGTGTGTGTGTGTGTGTGTGTGTTTGTGTGTGTGTGCGAACCTGTGTGCTCATTATTTGACAAGTTTATCATGCGCTTTGCATTCATATGGTGGAGTTCAAAAGGTTCACAGAATTTCCTCCAGAGGGCTGTCCTTGAATGTTTGCTCAAATTCAGTCAGATGCTTTTCATGACAAAAATATAAAGTAATCGTATGCTGTCTTCAGACTTTTTTTTTAAAGTTGTTCAGAATCTCAGACTCAAACCAAACACCGAAATCAAAGTCTGAAATGTTGACATAAATATGAAGTGGAAGGCTGAAAAGTGGTTTGAGGAGATTTGTGTTTTCATGACTTGACTGATGACAAGTTATGTAAAGTTTTGATTTGAGGAAAATTATGTTTTTAAGTAAGCCAGAGCTGGTATGACATAACTATCCAATTAGATTAGGATGTACAGGGTTTCCACTCTTTTAAGATATAATTTTCAGGACATATAGGACAGCATTGCTTACAAATTGTCAAATAATTCACCAGTCTAGTGTCATATTTAACTCTAGTTTTATTCCCTATTTTTTAACGATGCAGTGTCTCAGGTTCATTCCATTCCATCATTAACTTGGTGGCAACCCATAAGTAACAGTTCAAATCAAGTACAATTTATTTTTGTTTTACAGGAAGTTCCTCTTCTTACCTAATAAAAGAAAAAATAGAAAGGGTTAGTGCATGTACAATTAAACATTGCTGTGCATGTATTTAACAGCAACAACAACAAATGTAAACGTGATCATTAATAAACTGTATTCATGTAGATTTGATCCTCTACAACATTTCCACTGGGCTTCTCCTCTTGCACCTCTGGAAAATATAGTCAATGGCCGTTCTAGACTAAAATACAGGACAGCAGATTATTTTCATTTTCAGGTGTTTCCATGACTAGAAAAAAAGTCTAATTTTCCAGGTTTTCCAGGCTGAAACCCTTGGAACGCTAACTATACACAAAGGAAATAAGAATGACCACTAATGTATGATCTGCTTTATTTCCTACAGGTTTCTCATAGTCCTGGCCTGTCTGATCCTCAGCGTTCTGTCTACCATCGACCAGTACCAGGCCTTGGCTCACACAACACTCTTCTGGGTGGTAAGTGTTATTATACTGGAATTAACCATTAAAAAAACATTTGTCCCATTGTCAGAATGGATCTACCTTTAGGAGAAGTTCGGGATTAAAAACTAAAGCTCACATTGGATGATTTTAATCCCAATTGGACCACCCTAACAGTACTCTCAACCCTAAATTGAGAGGGGTCAGAAGGGTGAAGATAGGAGGTGCTTGGTCACAAACAGGACAATAAGCCAACATAGTTAATTCAAGATATGTATTTACATTGACCAGGGTTATATAAATTTGAAATATGATAGCTTCTCCTTTTTGGACTCTCTGGGTCTCTTTAGTCTTACAGGTCAGCACTATCAAAATAGTTTTCAATAGGTCTGCAGTGTGAATTCTCCAGTCAGTGTACTTTGCAAAACTTTTAGTTCAAAGTGTGGACCCAGGTGCAGAACACAGATCAGGAGGCAGATTTATTGAATAATTTTTGTTGTTGGAGATGGGTAGTGGAGACGGGATGGCTGGTTACGGTAAAGGGAAGGTTGAATGGATGAGGCTGTGTGGCCGACAGAGGGAGCGAAGGAGAGCTGGTTGCAGGCAGACCTAAATCTTGAGACACAAGGAAATACAGGCTGAAGAACTAAACACGAAGAAAACAGAATGCTAAAGACATGATCTGAGCTCATGCGAGGCAGGTGAGCCGACTGGGAGTGGTGATGAGCTATAATAGCAAACTGGTGTGCAGAGGAGCAGAGCTGGGAAGGGAGACCACGCCCACAAAAACTGGAAACACAGGGAAGGGAAAATGCATGGATACGGCCATGACAGGGAATTTACTTTTGGTCTGTGGATCCCTATGATTTTTTTGAATGAACTGATTTCACTTACACCTGCTTTAAATTCTGGTGTTACCAAGACCCATTGAAGTTGAAGAATCCGACATGATTTCTTCCAGTGTGTGAGAATTTTGCTACGCCCAGTCTGGTTGTACTCATGTAGTGTGAAGCAATCAAAAACTGAAAGGTTAAAATTTGAAAGTGATTCTGGCAACAGCTAAAGGGAGTTACTAAAAGAGAAGATTGCCTTTAACACCAGCTCCAAGGCTTGTGGTATACTCCCATAAAGATTGGATTAGTGTAGCACTTCCACAGACAAAACAACTTGTGTTCCTCCATGTTAAATTGTCTCATGTTGCGGTGCAGAGCTAGCCAATATTACTCCAATCTACAAAGTGAAAGTGATAATAGCATGGGTACCCCTCACTTACATGCAGTTTCACACACAGTATCTGTCTTTGCAGTTAATGGTAGCAATGCTTCATAAAAGGTTGCACCAGGATAAGAAGAGAAAGAGGAGACAGACAGCTGATATAAATATAAATAAGCTTTCAGAACATAAAAAGTACATGAAAAAAAGCTTTACAGATATGTTTCCAAGTATTTTCCTAGGCCCCAAGCATGCACATAATGTGTTTGGGCTATAAATATTGAATGTAAACAAGACAAGAAAACTCCACCGTTTATCTTTAATGATCCCGATCAGTGGGCCATGAATGTGTTTGAAAGATACTTGTAAAGTGATTGAGATTTGAAAGAATCTAAAATCTCAAGAGAAAGATGCACCTTTTATCTTATAACAGCACTGTTTACATTGTAGATACTGCCTGTAGCCTTTTCTCCCTCTGCTGTCTCCTGATCTGATCTTTCCTTTGACTTTCACCATCTGTTCCACACTTCTGTTTTGTCTGTTTCTGCTGGCTGGCATCTGCAAACAGGCCTGATTCTAATATATTAAGTCGTTAAGGATGAGTTTTGTTCCCATTACATGTCAAGCAACTCATTTAAATAAATTAAAGGATAATGATGCTAAACAAAAATGCAGTTAGACATTGAGTTGTTATATTTTGACACATGTTGGATAACCTTGTTTAATACAGCACAGAATACACTAAACACATGTTCAGTTAATTATTACAGTTTTTTGACTTTTTGAATTTAAAGGTGTCACTGAAATAACAATCAATACTATGATTGTGAAGATGTTGCTAAAACTGTAGATTTCAAACCTCAGTTTCTGTTGTTTGAAAAGCAATTTCATGGGTTGATTGACCTCACCGCTGCCTCACAAAACCAATTTAGGGACGCAACATATGCTTCTTTTTCTACAAACAATTTCAGGGTGTCCCGTTGGCACTAAGAGGACGAAGGCCCGTCCTCTAGAATCAATAGTAAATGGGATAAACTTAACCCCGAGACACTGGCTGCTGAGCACAGGAACTGTTTGGGTGATGGGTGAGTCACTCAAGCTCAGACTAAAGAAAGAACCCCAAGAAAGGATGAAAAGGACTTCAGGAGGACTGGAGCGTGGCACATATGACAAGTTCACCTTGGACTGGGGATAATAGGATGAAATGGTCACGGTGTTTCATGAGCTGGAGAATCAGAATCTCAAATCCTACAGGTTCATTGTTGAATTCATAGAGATTCGGGCTGCTGCAGAGGCTCCTGTGTGTGAGTCGGACCTATAATTAGTAAGAAAAGTGTGAATTTTGTTAAAAAATACCATAATATCATGAAATATACATTTTATAGCAAAATGTTTTTCAGCCTAAAGTTCACCCCTGGAGATATTTAATCTTCTTATTCTTCTCTTCTACACAGATAATGAATAATTAATATTTGCTACGCCGCTAAACCTACCAAAATCTCAAACATTCATCTTTTCCACCCTCCATCCCAAAGGGCCTGTTTTGTACTTTGTGCTTTCTAGTTTAGAGATTTGCTCTGACCCTGCCACTCTTTCATTCTCTCCTCCCCCATCACAGAAGCATCTTCTTTGTCTTGCTTCTTTCTTCCTGCACACTCAAGGTTAACAGAGACCACTCTGTTCTTTACTTGGAGATGCAGCACTGGCTCACAGTGTTTGTAGTAGTGTGTTTGGCCAGATGCTTGGCAGATTGCCCAAAGGATTCACATTCTCAAAAGAACTTGTTTTTTAGGTCGAAAATGGCTGTGAACTATTAAAAAGTATTTTTTTATTTCATTTTGCAACAAAATCCTGGCAGCAGTGGTGGAAAAGAGTACTGAAAATCTGTACTTAAGTAGTGTTACATTACTGAAATATTACTCAGCTTTAGGTAAAACTACTGGTGTTAAAAAAAGAATCAAGTAAAGGTAGAAAGTATACTTATCCAAAACTGTATTGGGTACTTTTTAACTATTGGTGTTTTAATGCAGTATCAATAGCAGGCATGAAAAGAGGAGATGTAAAATGTAGAATCCATGTAGAAAATATCGTCAAGCATAGAAAAAAAATGTTTTAACCTACACAGAATGCATGTAATTAGTATAGATCTCTCCCAATGCACTGTAAACAGTCATCCAGGCAAGGGCCTAATCTGTATCCATTTGGTTTCTGTTTCTGCAAATCTTCAGTCCCTAAATGACTCCCAACTCCTGTGCTGTTCTGATCCGTGTGGTCACCATTTCTATTGGCCCGCAATGTGTTTTGTGCCAGATTTGCTCGCAGCATGTGGAAAAAATAGAGCAGACGCAGAAACTATCGCTGTAGATCGGGAGGTGCCTGCCCCGCACCACACTGTACACCCTCAGTCGAACCAGCCCAATTAGTTAATATGGGCAGTGGGCAGCGCTTCAGAGTGCTTTGCGGCACTTCTACCTCCTGTGTGTCCCTAGCAGTGCAAAAACAAAATGCAGATGAAAGGTTTGGATATAAATTGTAGAACTACTCAGTAGTGCATTATGATTTTAAAAGTAGCAAAGTAGATTGCATAGTCTAATGCATACTTAGGTAAGAGTAAAATTACATGTTTGAAAAAATACAATAAAATTACACAAAAACTGTAACGTGAGTAGTTGTAATTAGTTCTTCCACCCCTGCCTGGCAACATAACTGTTTTACCAACAAAGACGAAGTCTCTTATGAATGCAAATTACTTTATAGTTAAGGGAGTTTCAGTGATGGCTGGAGCAGGAGGGATGACAGGGGTCAAGACTGAAGGGTGGGATGAAATGAGGGTCAAGCATGAGGGGATGAACCAAGGGCCAAATGGCGATCGATGATGGGTATGGGTTAAAAGAGTGGAGAGGATCTAAGGAAGTGAGACTCAGTGTGTGGGTAATGACTAGTGAGATATCCTAGTCGTTAATTGTTCCAACTTGCTGGTTCCTGTAATTGAGAAAGGAGGTGAGGAGGCAGAGAAGCAGGGGAGTGGAGTGGAGGATGAGGGATGTGAGATGAAGAGCGCATGGAACGACAAAGTGATTAAGGCAGAAGTAGGTGGAATGCCAGAATGGGATTGGTCTTTGGTGGGATTGTGGGATTATAAATCATTACAAGGTTTGGAGCAGGCATAAATTGATTTTTGTTTCTTTTAAAGAGAGCCCTGATTCTTAAAAAGGTCTGAACAATATAAGGTAATAAGGCAATATTATCAATAATAGTAAATGTCCATTACAACAAGTATAAGTCATAAAACTAATTCCAAAATCTGTGAATCCAATTCCCAAAAAAATAATTTGTCATTTTTCGTCCATTTTACTGGCAGATATCTTTTACGGCAGGGCTTATTTTCTTGCTGCAGTGCGAGTAATGAAGTATCTGTGTGGTCACGAGCTGATATTGAAACGCTGGGATCCATTTAGGATCTACATCACCTCCATAGAGCTGAGTATAGTCTCATGGACCTCAGTCTGCTCAGCAACCGAGCGTGGATCCATAAAGACGAAGGAGGAGAAGGAAGATTTTCTCTTCCCTGTTGGCTTAAAAGTTGAGCTTGACAGATCATCCTTGATTGTGAAAACAGCAGTTAACAATACAATCTAAACTCAAGGCTCTCTTTTTTGATTCTTCTGGTATTTCAACTATATCACAGTCGTCTGTTTCCAAGGTCGAAAATTAATTTTCAAGCTCAAATAAAAACAACTGTTTTAATTCTCCTCTATTCCTGTTTTTGCTGCCTTCCTGATTGTTACTGTATTGCTGTTTTGGATAGACCATTTGTTTTTCAACCTTGAAGTAGAAATCCTCACAGAATAAATTAATAAATACAACATTTTTCATATTTGCTTCCAAGAACACAATTTAACATATAATTAATCCACTTTTTGTTTTGCAAGACATGGTATTTCATATTCACTGATGTTTTAATCTTTGGCTCTGATGAAGAAAAACACTTCCAATAATTCCAAGCTGTAAACGTCTCCTGTTGTACAACATGGAACACATCTTCTGCCTGAATCCACACATTTGTTCCTCCCATCATTCACTGCAAAATGATCATGCCACCATTGAAAATCTATGAAAGGCTATTGACTACTTTCAGACAGCTTCATTTCCAAATGCTTGTCAATGATTAAGAGACGTGTGGAGGCAATCACATTCACACCAGTCCATTCATTTCCACATGTTGGTAATTGTGTGCTGTAATTGATTTTTTGAATCCATTTGTCCTCAAGGAGCACTGGGGGAAACTTGCATGGAATTGAAATAGAGCAGCTTTAATTGAGAAGCTTTAATTGTATGAGCTTCATGTTTAACATTGGCCACATGCTGTTATGACTTATTTCAGTTATTGTCAGTCTGAATAAAAAAAAAAAAATGAGAATAAGAATGAGAGGAAAATGAGGAAGTAATCTGGATGCGGTACGGTAAATGTGAAGCTACTGCCAGCAGCTTAGCACAAAGACTGGAAACGAGGAGCTAGCATGGCTGTTTGAAGGTAATAAAAGTATTGTCGTCACTGTGAAGTTGTTACAGTTCTTGTATGGAATAAACAAATTAGATATAAATTGTTATTAATTGAGCTTTACAGATGCTGGTAGGTGGATTTTGCTACTCTAGACAGCACCAGGCAAGCTGTTCTTTTCTTAACTATAAGCGAGAAAGCAAATAAGTGCATTTCCCAAAGTCTGGCTCATTGAAATGAACAAAATACAGATGAATATAATCAAACTAGTTGTCAGGATACATAATCATCAGCTCAAAGTACATTTCGTGGCTGAAATAATGAGTTAAACAGTGGTATGGTACAAATTAAACAGTTACAAATGGTGTATAGGTTGAGTGAGAATCAATAACCCTTAATGAATTGCGGCGGCAGGTTTGTGTGAGGAACTAAAGTTAACAAAAAAAAGAGGAAGTTGGGAGAACAGTTCTATAATCTATAATTCAACAATATCTCTTTGAAAGCACACGCTGAGTGTCTGAGCAGCTGTTCCGGTGTTGTTGCACTAAATAACCTGAAACGACATCTGATGTTCAATTTTTTTTTTCTCCACTTGTCCTTCACCCTCATTTGTCTGTTCTGTTTTCCTCATTTCCCTGACAGGAGATCATCCTTGTGGTGTTCTTCGGTGTGGAATATTTTGTCCGCCTCTGGTCAGCAGGCTGCCGCAGTAAATATGTTGGCATTTGGGGCCGACTACGCTTTGCCAGGAAGCCAATATCTATTATAGGTAGGAACACAACCCTTACACGCACACGTATCTGTACACATACACACAGACGTCTCACTCCCCACCCACACACAATATTTAAACAATATCTGTAACATATCCTGAGCTTTATCCCTAAATGAAATATCTCAGACAAATTCAGCATGAAATTAAAACTGTCACTGGAATATTTTTTTCTACCTTCAGCTTTTTATTCTTAAAATTGGAACCTCCAGGTGCTTCTTTAAATTTGTAGCAATGAATATTAGCATTAATATTATTTGCAACCCCTCTCACCCGTATCGATTTATAGAATAATTTTGTAATGAAAACCAATGATAATTTCTTAATAGAGCACTTTCCATCCACTTTTTAATATCTGGACCTTCTTTGACTTTCACATACCTCATATGGAGGACTCTTGTTATACTGCACCTGTGTATATTGAATATCTGCATGTCTCTGCGATATTTATACTTTAAACACCACATTCTCTATCAATACAGATTTGATTGTAGTCGTTGCATCAGTAGTTGTGCTGTCAGTGGGATCCAAAGGCCAGGTCTTTGCCACCTCTGCTGTAAGGTAAGGGACAGTGAATGTGCTGGGGGAAACTTTAAGAACAAAAGTATGTGAACACTTTGTGTATCTATGGAGCCCCCTAGTTCCAATTGAGGGAAATCTTACTGCTAGAGCATGATTTTATTGTTAGACAATAGTATACTTTTTACTTTGTGGCAACAAATGCTGCATCAGTTTATTAGAACTGGAGAGTATTTATTCATTGAAAGAAGAGCAAATAACGGCACAGGATTTTCTCGATGGAAAATATGTTTTTCCTCTTCTGGATTTAGTAAGTGTTTCACTACGTTATATGGTTCACAGGTTATACTTTTACTCTTACAGTAACAGATTAAGGGTGGGTTTGGAATGGGATGGTAAATAATCACATATACTCTGTCTTGAATGTCCACATACTTTTGGTTTGTATTTGTATGTTTATGTTTAAATACATGCATTTGGTCTGAATACAGCGTCACCATTTAAACACATCTGTTATTTTTCAGAGGGATTCGCTTCTTGCAGATCCTGCGAATGCTCCATGTGGATCGGCAGGGAGGAACCTGGCGTCTCCTCGGCTCTGTTGTCTTCATTCATCGGCAGGTACACAATCACAGGTTTCAGAGGCATATTTCAGGTCCAAAGCCATCAGGGCTTCTGATTATTATTAGTAAGCTGGGAGCTTTTTGTTAGGGGATTTATAGCCTCTTCTCTTCATGTATTATGTTTCACTACTACACAATGCAGATTTTACTCATGGGATTGCATATTACAGCAAAAAGAAATATTCAGCAAAACCAGATGAAAAGAGTTACTGTGCTGTAAGCTAGGGTCATATACGCATATTCTGCTAGAGATACCTATAGCCCCTCTAGAGTATCATTCAGCTGAAGTCACAGAGGTGGCTGTGATTATCCCCAGTGGCCACTGTAGTTGTCTTTAGATGTCTTTGTAAAAACAGAGAGTGATGAAGGTGAGCAGAGCCTCAGGGATGTGGCTCATCCAATACCGCCTGCTGTGCTTCCTTGTATTGGCCTTGGCTGATGACCATATTGTATCTGGCTGAGGCTGGCCATTAACAGCCACTGACCTCAGCTGTAAAGAAAGTGAGTGCTGGTGCAGGGAGATATTGAAGCCCTTTCTCCAACCAATTCCTACCAGCTAGCTACGAGGTGTCACTCTGCATTAAATAACACTATATAGGGCACCTCAGCTTGAGGATGAAATATATCAGGTAGGTATTTTGCCATAACCAGGAAACATCTGTCACCATGGATACAGAGAGATCATGATAGTTCATTAAGCTGTTGTTATGTTGTGTTTCCCTGCAGTACAGAGGCTTCTCACAAGCAATCATGTGCAATAAAATGGATGCATTATTTATTAAGTGGTTGAAAGGTACATATGGGTATAAGATATCTCAAATAAATAGAGACAGAGACAAAGTAATGGTTACTTTTATTTTACACGTATCAAACTGCACATTCTGTGATATAGAACCCACCATGAAAAGATAGTGTAGGGGAAGTGTAATAAAGGTTTAGGCCACTGGTTACCAACCTTTTTGACTTGTAAGTTTTCCCCCTTTTTTCCCTTTTCAGATTGTTCAATTTGATGTAATTTCATAAGCCTAAAGAGGTAAATGATATTTTACAAAGTAGCAAGATGGAATTTAAATTCATATTTAATCCATTATCCAACATCTGCATTTCCCTTGCACTCAAGGTAGTGGAGAATGACAAGTTAGCACTGGTGTAGACTATTTGAGGGTTTAAGTGGCCAGTTCTTTTCCACATTAATTGGTTTGGGATGGACCTAATATGGCACAACCCTTCACACAAACGGAGGCAGTGGGGAAATGGTAAGAGAGCTTATCTGTGAGAGTTTAGTGCTTTCATCTTCTTTTTTTCTGTCTTTGTTCCTTTTTGCACTACTTGTTTGGTTCTCCAGAAATAAAATGCTCTATTAAGGCCCCACACATCCCTAACAACCCTGCACAAGGAAAATAAAGTGTGTTGCCATACAGCAGGCAGTGAATACAGTCGAGGTCAAATTACCATCAACCAGCTGGACACCAGTGTGCACTACCTCCAGTATTTGTTCCTTTGTAATTTCACAACATGAGACTTGAATATTTTGTTCAGCCATCCTCTTACATAAACACATGAAACTGCAGCCCTTCTGTGTTAACACCTTGAGTTTTTTTTAAATCAATAGAGATTGATTCACTTCAGTATCTGTTACAACAGAATGTAAATACACACTGAGTACCATTCTAGTTCTTGTGGCTTGTAAACACAGTTTGCATAGTTGCTTCTTGCTCGCTCACTGGCAGAATTTCTCTTGAATGTGTTTTCCAGGTCACAGCAGCAGCAGCACATTTACTGATCCTGTGGTAGTGACTCAAGGAAGATGTGCCTGAATGCATTAAAAGCTGTTATTTCCAAGAATCATGCACTTATAGGTTACAAGCAGGGATGTTAGCTGAAGGTGTTACAGGCTGTCATATTCACTGCCAAAGTTTAATGTCAAGAAATGTCCAAAACATTCAGAAACAATTGTGTAGTCATGTGAAGAAATGCAGACAGTACTCGCTGAGTACCAATGGACCATATGTACTATTTGTATAGGGCAATGTAAGGATGTAGAGGCAAACAAGCACCATTTTTTCCTGGATCGATTTTTTGCAATAATCTGCTGCTGTTTCTCCGTGTTGCTCTGAAAAATCTGGGAGTGACAGTTTTGGGCCGATACACGAATAAGAATTTTACTCATCAGGAATTCAGTCCGATTTAGTGCTGCAAGTGCTCAGGCACTCTGAGTAGTTAAACACAGTTTTAAATCACGTAGTAGGTGAGTGCAAAGAGAACATTCACTTGAAGAACTGTTTCACAAAGCAGTAGTCCAATTACTGTCAGACAGGAGAAGAGCCATGCCCAATTAGACCTCCTGAGCAAATCACAGGCTTGAATCTGCAATGAGATGCTTGGAAGTTATTTTAAATACACCAGGAGAGATCAGCTGTCTGGGTTTCAAACTCATTTATAATGATTTAGTGCCCATCTGAATTCAATCAACAACCTTCCAGTAATCAGTGATTATTACTGAACATACTTTCAGTTTAAACTCAGTTGTACTTGTACTATGTTCTTGTATTACTTATTTTCAAGATACTTACTTCTTTTAGGATAAGGAATAACTATATAAATACTGAAGTAGTAGATTTAGGCTAAGTCTTAGTCTTAGAAATAAAAAATCTGTGTTAGTTTTAGTCATATTTAGTCAACTCCAGTTTTTTTTTTTTTTTAATTAGTGCATTTCTAGTCAACACTTTTTTTACAGACCAAATACAAGTACAAGTACTTACTGATACTGAGTACTGATAAGTAAATAACACCATTACAGCTCAATGTACAATGACTTTGAAAGCACGTTTTATTTGTATGAGATGTAACTTGGTTTCTGACTGTAACAAATGCTTCCTCAAACAAGAGGTTAAGTAATGTCAGTGGTATCGGTGTATTTTTATGATTACAATTGCAAGTACGTGAGCACTGCATCAGTATTGGTGCCTCCCTTGTAGCTACTCAGCTTAAAGCGAGTCCACCATTAATTCATAGGCTAGCAGAGAGAGCAAAAATGTTCAGAAAAAGATTTTAATCATAATATTCACAGCACATTTACATGAATATTCACATCCATATGTCATATTATTAGCAAACACAGTCACACTAGACTCCACATGGCAGTTTAGTGGTAAACTGATACTGCGGCAATCAGGCGGGATTGTATAAGAAAGTATATATAGATTCACAGATGTCATGTCATATAATCTTATGATGTTCTTTGTAATGATTCCTTTGTTAATTATTGAGTTTGAAATATGTGCATATTTATTTCAGGAGCTGATCACTACCTTATACATTGGCTTTCTTAGCCTGATCTTCTCCTCGTACTTTGTCTACCTGGCAGAGAAAGATGCAGTCGACAGCAGCGGCTCCACGGAGTTTGGAAATTACGCTGATGCCCTGTGGTGGGGAGTGGTAAGAATGTGTGTGTGTGTGTGTGTGTGTGTGTGTATGTTTTACTGGACCAGTTTCTATTTTACACATCTGATATAGCAAGGAATATGATGAGGTTTGATTTTACTGTATTTTTGTTGCATCATTTTTAATTATTACTAATTATTTATTATTATTATTACTAATTTCTTAAAGGAATAGTTTGACATTTTGGGAAATAGACTTGAAGAGAGGATTGATTCTTACTTGTACACACATCTGCATTTGTAGAACAGTCAATATAAATGCCCTCTCTCCGCAATGACCCGTGATTGGCCGAAGTCTCCTGTCACTGGCTAGATTTTCTGAAGCTTGAAAACAAAGCCAAGAGGAAGTGCAGAGGTCACTCTCGGACCACTTGAATTACAATACTCTCAAAGGTTATTGTGAATTTTTTTTAGAATGGCGCCAAAAAATAGCTGCCTACCCCAGTGTTAATTATATTGTAAGTTTCAAAGAAAGATTAAATGTTGTCTTAGTGACTTTCTTTCCAACTAAAGTTTTGCAGAAAAAAAATGCCTTGTTTTAAACAGTATTTGGCATGTGAAAGGTCAAATATAGACTCCGTTTTATCTGTGCTACTCTTGTTACAGTAGGAGTTGAGTGAAAACCCTTGGGCATATCCAGTGGGCCGCTAATACAAGAAGCAAAACAAATAGTGTAGAGAATACGGGATGAAATTTTATTTTCAGACAATAGGTCACCACCCACTCTGCTTCTTGAAAACTTCAGGGACTCTGATATTAAAAACCGTACACACACACAGAAGATTCATAACAACTTCTCTCATATAAATGAAGCTTTACTGGCAACATTTATGCATTATTTACTGTGAGTTTTATCGGGTTTGGGTCCACTCTCACATACTCACTGTCTGCACTGGGTGCTCTCAGTGCATGGAGAGAGTCAGATAGGTGAAAAGGTCAGAGTTGTGGTTGGAGGGTCAGGGAAAATATAGACCTCATGCGCTGCAGTAGACTACTAGGATTGATCACTAGCAGCCAGAGCTGTTTTTTAGTCTTTTGGGTCAAGTCCAAGTCTAAACAAATCATTTACATGTCAAGGATGCTGACCAGTAAAATGATATTTGAAGAATTTCCTTATGAAGCTGTGTTTGTAGTGTTCTTACTTAGTTTCAATGCTTTTAAGAAGCTAAAATACTGGCTCTAGGGATGTCAATTTTGGCCAGTGAGTTGGTCCATCACTTTGGTCTAGACAAGTTGTTCTCAAACATTTTCAATGACAGGGCAACCAAAGCTAATATAAAATGATCCAAGTTAATTTTTTGTGAAATAAAGGTCAGCACAATAACATCAGCAAACACTTCTTTGTTTATTTTCCCTAAATCCTAAAATGTATTTAACTTTGTTGCACTCCATATTTTGCCCCTGGTCAACGCATCTGCATTGGCTCTATGCTCCACCAGTGGGGCCCACCCTGCAGTTGGAAAACTTCTGGTCTAGACGGAAATATTTTTCCTCTGGCAGGCACATTTTCTGTTTGGAGTGAAATGTCTCAGAAACTATTATATGGATTACGATTAAATTCAGCATAAACATTCATGCTTCACTCAGGAAGCATGAATAAGGCATGCATGAAGCAGGCAGTCTCTTTTTCACCCTGTGCCATCAATAGGTCATATCTTAATGACTTAATACCTGCAAAACAAATGACATTCCCATCAGTTGTTAGTTATTATTTAGTTAACAAGTCAGCTTTGCAATGTACCAAAAATGTTATGGATAGTTTTTGCTGTTTGCTTTTACAGTCTTAAACTGCCAGAATGACATTTCTTGAATTATTTCCCATGTGTTTTTTTTCCAAGGTGACAGTGACTACCATTGGATATGGAGACAAAGTGCCACAAACCTGGATTGGAAAGACCATTGCGTCCTGTTTCTCAGTCTTTGCCATTTCCTTCTTTGCTCTGCCTGCAGTAAGTGGACAGAGAAATTGCTGAACCATGGCATCTTCAGGCTTACATTGTGCTCACAAGGATCTGTATCATTATCAATCCTTCTCTCATGTTTCCTATCACATGCAAATGTTACCAATCGGAAAATAATCAATGATTGAATGTTTTCTATCAGATTCATTCCTCTTTAACTAAATGTGTAATTAGTTTGGTCTTTTAAGTGGGTATTAAGAAACATAAAGTGCCTATTTTAGGCTTATGTGTAAACCACTAAATCATAACAAAGCTGGCTCCGACATGTTTCACCAACCACTGCATAGATTTGAAAGGATTACACTTAAACAGTGCTGAGAGCTTTATACATAATAGTATGCCTTAAGTGCTGCTAGGACCTTGACAAGCCATACAATGGCTTTACATTCTCCTGCCAGATTATTAATGAAGACAGACTGCAGCTCACAGGATTACATTAAATGTTATCCCTTTTTGTTACTGAATGTCTGTTTGAGGACTGTAGAGTTGTACAGTTGTGACATGCATTCAAGATTCACAGTAACTTTGATTTTGCTTTACAGTTTTGTGCTTAAAGGAATTAGGATTAGGCAAGTAAAGTTTGTTTTCCATTATCAATTTTCGATTATTCTTTGGTTCAATATTCATAATGAAGTGTGTAATGTCTAAAATAGTTAGACCTCAAACGGTTTTCAATTTGCAGTGCTATGAAATTTAGAGAAGCAAGGAAGCCCTCACATTTAAGCAACTGTAACCAACAAATAAAATTGAGAAAATACTTCATTAATAAGTGATTCACATTTTATTTTTATTTTCACATTCATTTCTGTCTATGAACAAAGTGAATAATATACTTAATGTCTCAGCATTAAACAGCACATTATTCCTTAATTTTGAGGTAAACTTTGTGTTTATGTCTGTCTTTTGAATCATGCTGCTGCTGTGTCATTCTCACTGACTTAATGAGCAGTACCTCTGCTGTGCTGTTGTTCACAGGGAATCTTAGGTTCAGGCTTTGCCCTGAAGGTGCAGCAGAAGCAAAGACAGAAACACTTCAATAGACAGATCCCTGCAGCTGCCTGTCTCATTCAGGTATTTTATATTTGACCAAAGAATACTGAAACGGAACCACAATACAGCTGGGGGACTGAACTGTCTTGAAGCCCCCGTCTTATTATTGAGACCATCCTTTCATGTAACCCTTATTTTCTTTCTTGCATGGCACACATGTTGGCATGAAATTAGTCCTGTCCAACCAATATATTGCTATTTTCATGCCCCTCTAGACATCATGGAGATGTTTTGCGGTGGAGAACTTGGATTCTGTCACATTCAAGATGTTTTTGAGGAAGAGATCCAACATCCCCGCCTCCTCTCTGTCCACCCCCAAGCCCAAGAAATCGGTTAGTAATCACTTTATATATTTCTCTGTAACTGCTTCTTATGTTCAGTTTCCAGTTTATTATGTACAGGCAAGGCAAAACTAATGCAGTATGAAGCAACAGCTCTGCAATACCATAAATCCTACCTTCATGAAGGTTATGTTGATTCAACTTTATGGCCATTTTGAAGGCTGTAGTTTGTGTTAGAAGTGAGGCACATTTCTGTAGTGGTTAATTCAGCTGTAATTTATAAATTAAATGAATCCCAGTCAAAAGGGCATAAACTCGTATTACTAAATATCCAGTGTAAGACAGGCCCAGGTCCATATAATCTACACTGCATTATTTTATGTTGCAAATAATTATGTCACAATGTATTGTTGTGGTGATTTGAAGGATTAAAAACAAGACTTGAAATTTAAGTTTTAAAAAATAATTTAAGGTTTTTTCTGTGTTGGGTGGGAAATTTGTATGGACAATAAATTAAGGTAGAAAAAAGGCATGCATCCCAGACAACATCCAGCAGAAATGTAATACTTATATTGATTATTCAATATAACTGCTACTTGGGCATTAGACCATGCCCACACTAGTGCATACATTTTAAAATGTTGTTTACGTGTCAAAAGTGTTCCCTCCAGACTTTGCAGGGCCTCACCTTCAAGTGATGAAATGTCACAGTAACAGCAATATAAAATATGTAAAATATACTAACATGAAATAGCAATTTTACTGATCCAACATTGTGACAGTAATTTCTGTGCTGCTGCATTAAGACCCTCAATCAAATCTTTACTCAATGTTCATACATTCATCTGACAACAAAAATAAAAAGGTATATTAATGATGACTCCACAGATTCACACATTACTGCAAAGTGGAAATAGTTTCGCCGTGTTTACAAAGTGCTGATAAGTAGACATGTCTGCATTTTTGAAAAAACCACAGCTATTTTCAGATTTTTCCACAATGTCACCCTAAGTTGAAAATGTAAACATGGTTTTGCTGTTGTGTCACTCAGGTGTCAAATACCTATGTTCCTCCACAGGAACACTTTGTTGAGCTGAGATGTTTGCATTTCTTGAGCAGGTGAAGATAAGGAGGAAGTTGAAGAGCACTGACAAGGACAACGGTCCAACTTCTCCCACAATTCCCAGCATCACCTACGACTCTGTATTTGACAGTGGGAGGGAGCTGAGTTCAGATGTTTACAGCACTGTGGGCACAGGTACTAAAAACAGGACTGTACAGTATGCTTATCTCTGGTGCACTAGGTTCCAGTTCACTTTAATCAGTGCGAAAATTGTTGTTTACAACAGAACATATTTAAGAATTACACTGTGGAATGGTAGGTATTAAACCGGTTAATGAGTATCTGAAGTCATTTAAAGGGTTTAATTAAAATCAGAATAAACACTCACAATGTCACTCAAGATGCATAAATGCATAGAAAATAAATGACTAATGATGCACTGGCTGAAGCCACACATTCAGTGATGATCCAGTAAAAAGAAAATGTTTGATTTTAACTCCAGTTGTAGCCACATGAAGGGGAAAGAATAAAGTCCAAACATTAATGATTGATGAGCACATTGCAGCAGTAAAATGTGAGGTTGTATTGATGAGTATGAACTCCAGTAGTGAACTGCTGAACTTACAAAAGTTCACACAACATACAGCGCTGATGGATCAATAGTGGAGCTGAGATTCATATAAAGAAGCAATTCATACCTCATACTGTATCCCTTCAGTGTCATTTAAGGTTGTCTTTGTGCTGCACTCCACATGTCTCTGTCAATTTATTTTAAATTAGTTGCAGTTTTTATGAAAGCCGCATTAGTGATTTAGTATTGGTTGAAGGAAAAACAAAATCTAACAATATCTCAGTTGACTTTCATTTTGCAAATGTTTTTGCCTTCAGTGCTGTAACGGTTCTGCACACAGTGATGTCAACTCAAAAGCAGGACTCAGAGGCAGAGCAGTTGAAAGCAGTCAATCTTTTACTTGGTAAGAAGTTCAAGGCAGAGTCCGGCAACAGGTAATCAGTCAGCAAACAAAGAAGGCGAGGGGCGGGCAGGCAGGCAAGAAAAATAAATGAAGGCTGTAAAGCTAGGACTGGGTAGGACATTAGACAATCTGGCAAACGACTAGGGAATGAACGCTGGTATATATGCAGGACAGGATAATGACGGAATGTGAGTGAAAAGCTGCCAGGCCAGGATGCAATGTATGACACACATTTTAGTTGATGAAACATTAAATTGTTGTTGTGTGTAATTGATACACTTTTTTCCATAGGAGAATGTACTTTAGACCTACACTGTTCATTTCCATATAATTTCCTGTCAAAGCCACAGGGAGCCACTGGAAGGGGGCTAAAGAGCCGCATGCAGTTGCCTACAGATGGTTTGACAGAATGTAGTTTTTATCCAGGCTAGGGCCATCGCTTTAAAGATGGCCATGTCAATCTGTCTTTGGTCCAGACTGCAATATTTCCACAAATTTTAGATGGATTACCATAAAATGTACAGAAATCCATGGTCCCAGAAGATAAATCCCACTGTGAATCCTTCTGACTTTGGTGATATATGAACATCCATTGGATGAGAATGTTAGCATGCTGATGCTAGCATTTCGTTCAAAGCACAGCTCTATATACTATTCGTTTGTGCAAAGAGCAGCAAGATGTGTGTAGACAGTTAGTGAGTCTTTCCACTTACCTACCAACAGATGTCTCAAAACCTTTAAACAATGACAGAAAATGTATATTATTTATTTGTTAGTTATTTGTGTTATTTGGGCCTTGTATGTCACTCATTATATAACATCATCACACTTCTAATTCATCTTATAAATGCACGGCCTGCCAGGAGTCACTTGCATCCTTCATTTGTTCAGAGTGCAGAGTATCTGATAAAGATGTAATTAAAACATAGATAGATAGATAGATAGATGCCTCATTCATTTTTTTCAATCATTTCATTTTCCATGTTTATTCATTTCATCCTTGATTATATCCCTTAATGTTTTCTTCTCATTTACTATTTTACATTTGTTTGTAAACCCTACCTTTTGAAAAGATTAGTATGACTGAAATGAATCATCATCCCTATTATCAGTGCTGCATGGAGGGCATTACTGGATGAATGTTGATGAACAAAATGAGATAATGGAGAGGACAGTCTGTCCTCCCCAGGAGATAAATGTGGGCACTTTTAGCATGTCTATTAATGTAAACATCTACTTGGATCATACTCTTTGTTGTGCTTAGTTATACAACCTTTTTCTTTTACACCAGCTGGTAATCTGAAAATCTGCCTAGATGCGTGACTGCAGTGCCGCCACCAGCATGTTACTGTGCAAATGGTTTTGCTTTGCACTCAGTCCTCAGTGCAACAGCAGAATTTAATTTGCCGGTTGTAAAGATGTATGTGTGTCTGTTTGCTTCATGTTCAGTGAAAATCAGAAGATAAATAGATTCTACAGGCCGTACTGCACATCTAACATCTACGGCATGCTGCTTTTAACTATGAATCATTTAAATAAATTGCCACATTGCCATCTGGTGAGAGTTTGTATTGACTGAATACACACACCGATGGTGGCTCAAGAGCTGAGCTGCTTACAGTGTTGCTGTCATTATTGTCCTGAATGGATTTTTCAGAAAACATAACTGTTCGTGTTCAGTCCTTTCAGTTTGTATTCATCAGTTTATTTGGCTATCTATACTTCACATTGTTGAGATTTTGAGTGGTAGTTAAGGAACAGATTAGACTACATAACGTGGATACAGTCATAAATAGTCATTCTCAATAGTCGTGTGTGTGTATATATATATTTATGTGTGTGTGTGTGTGTGTGTGTGTGAATGTCTCCTGGGCTTCTGCCTTTTTTATGTCTGTCTTTAAATATGCTTCTTTCATTCAATTTAAATGCCTGTTTCCTTGCTTGTGTCTTTTTTCTCTTCTCGATGTTTTGTCCATCTACCTGGTTTAGCAGGATCCCACACTTTGAGAGGATGTGGTGAGCTGCTGTTAGTGTCCACGTCCTGCATTTGCCTCAGTACACTCGCTGTCATCTCTTATGGTCCATTTTAACAGTTTCCTTTTTACCCTCTCATTTACTCTAACAGCATGATTTTTGATCAGCTCATGGTCCTGTTATGAAATGTTTGGTTGTTTGCTTAACTATGAGTGATGAATATAATATAGAATATTGCATTTTTAGCACCACAGTTTTTGACTAGCATCATTATTGTTATTGTTGTCAAATATTGATTGTGTTTGTTTTCTCTTCATGTGTGCTTCAGATCTCCAGCAGTCCTGGACGTCTTTATCTTCCCTTCAATTCAGCTCACCACCTCCAGGTAATGCCATGTGTTGATATGAGTGTTTTTATGTTGCTTTGTCAGTCCAGAGGTAAATAGTTGCATCCTATGGGTTGGGTGTAGAGTTAACTATTAGTATATTGATATGCTGGGGCTAGGAGGACTTAAGGGTTGATCTGTTAAGTTGATCTGTGTCATGTAAGCTGACAAGCAGTTCTCTGTTGCCTGTTATTTTAGGAATATCCGTCAGCTTGTCATGGCTCGTCATGCCACACCAGCACCAATTAAGTCCATTTCATTCAAAATCCATTTAAAACAGATGCGTTTCACACCATGTTTTATTTTCACACGTTAAGAATTAGACCAGTTGTATCACACTTCTCCAACTGGTGCAGTTTCAGAACACTGCATTTGCAGATTCAAATAATTAACAAGTTTCCACTCAGTCTTCCATAACAAGTCTGTCATCTTTGCAGTAAGCACATCTCTTTACAAAATCATTTTGGGATTGCAGTGTTATACATAGCTCTCCATGGAATAAGAATAAGGCAGCCCAGCAGCAAAAACACAAGTAGGCAGTTAACCTTTCCTCTTAGGTCTTGTGTTCTGTGACAAAAACACAAATTGCAGGCAACCATTAACATGTGACATTTGAGAATCACATAATATCAACCATCAGTCTTACTTGTTTGTCCAAATGAAGCTCAACTTCACCTTTTCCCATTGTTAGCCGAATTAATGTTTCTGCAAACTCGTGTTCCCATCTGAAAGTTGCAGCTCTGTCATAATCTAAAACAGAATAATGTTTATGCAGAGTAACTAGTCACACAAGGTCATAATATTCCCCACAATGAAGAAGCATTCCCAAAAGCATTAAGGATTTTGAGAGGCTGCTTAGCATTTTAGCATATATTTTTCTTTATTTCAGCCATTTACTGTGGCTGTGACTTTCAGCTTAGCAAGCTAATTTAATATATAGGCAAGATTGTTTTTCTTTTCTTGTTGGTCAGTGTAGGATACACAGCATTGGTGCAGCAAGAGAGATCAAAAATAGATCAAAAGAGAGCAATTAAATAAATTACACCGTAAATCACCAAACTGAACAGAAGCAGCAAAACTAAGGCAGCAGCATTACTGAATGTTCTGGATGCACAGATATATCTATAACTAAAATCTAATGTGTGTGTGTTTGCATTTGCATTTGTGTGTGAACATGTAGTGAAAAAAAGCCCTGGCCTTTTGGATGTCCACTCCCCGGGCCCCCTCCAGAGGAACTGCAGCTTTGCAGACGACCTGGAGCTGGAGCCAGAGCGAGAGAGTGAACTGATTCCTGCCACCTCAGTGTCACAGTGAGTTCATCACCACTGCACTGCAATGCCATTGCATTGATGCTGTGCTTATGTGCCGAGTGTATTTTAATGAGCATATCAGAGAACGTTTGCATGTATTTTTTGCTATTTGTAATTAACCTTTGTAATATGTCAAACCCCAGAGCGCTCCTTTCTATGCTCAGTAATGATTCTATTTTAGGGAAAAGCACTTGTGTTTGCTAAGGCTCTTGCACAGTGAGACTGAGACTGATATGAGGAAATGAGTGTTAAGTAACTGCAGCATAATGTAAGTGCACAGTAAGTGAAACAAATGGAGCGACAGTTTTGACCCATGGGACTTCCTTTCTAAATGGTGGGGTAATGATCCAGAGTGGGAATTGCATGCAGCAGCATTGTTGGCAAAGATCACTCTGTGCTCTGCTGACTCCAAAATACGTAACCAGCTGTTCTCATAGAGCAATGCCACATCAAATCCCATGCTAAATTGAGCCATTATGAGATACTACTGGTTGTTTTATCTGTGACGAGAGAACGCCTTGTTGGAAAAGCTTGAAAAATGTGTTTCTTTTTACTAGGTTTGTCAAATATTTGTGGAAAGTCTTCGATTTTAAGCTAAATTACAGATTGTATTGCAAATTGTCCATTTGAAATTCAGTCTGTCTGTCTACAGTATTCGAAAAAATGCTTAGTTGAGTCATTGTTACAAATCTAAGCTGCAGCATAGACTGTTGATGTGGAATAGCTCAAACTCATATTTCTGCTGCCTTTGTATTGACATCGCAGTGCAGTATGTTTTGGTAAATTGAAGATGATTGAGGTATCGAGAACTTTAACCAAACTGTCAGACATTTGTCACAAACAAACAAAAATTACACCTCTAGTGACACTGCAGCCATGTTCTTTAAAGTGAAACTAAAAGAGTTTGAATTGTAGCAGTTAGGTAGGTGGGGGGGGGGGTAAAAGTTCCTCTTTGAAACATTTTTCATGTTTCTTATTTTGTATTTGTTGCTATTTCATGAAGCAGTTGGACCAAAGAAAAAATAAGATGCAAAAACTGTTACATTCATGCAATGAGGGGGCATTGACACAGTAACACTGATCTCATGATTAAATGTCGGTGCATCCATACACAGGATTTGATAATAAAGATCTTAAAAGGAATAGTGTAACATTTCAGTAATGATGTTATTGCCAAGAATCAGATGAGATGATCGAACTACGAACTATTTAATATGAGCTCACCTAAGCATAAACTGGATTTAAGGACTTCCTGGAAGAAGAAATGAAGTAGTCTAGAACATAAATCTAAAACCACAAGTTTTTATGCTTCATTTCACAAAATAAGATATGTTAATTAATGACCTGTAGAGGTGCTCGAAGATTGATTTCAGCTGGCCTTATTAACAAGCGCCGAACACTGACCTCTTAAGATAAGATAAGATCAAGATCTAAGATAAGATATTCTTATTTGGTCCCACAATGGCGAAATTCCGATGTTGCAGCAGCAAAGTGGATAGAGAAAAAAAACACACGACCTGTATATATGCATTACATATTAAATATCAGTATTGCACAGTTTTAGATCTTTCTATCTTTATCTATCTTTATTTATATTTAAAAAGTACTTGATTTTTTTGTGATTTGTTTATGTACCAATGCACAAATGCAAATTCCATGTATGTGTAAAAACTTACTTGGCAATAAACCTGATTCTGATGCTGATTCTGATTCTGATTTAGCTTTGGATAGACCCAGGTTAGTAGTTTCACCCTGTTTTTAGTCTTTGTGCTAAGCTAAGCTAATCGTGTCCCATCTCCAGTTTCATGTTGAACAGACTCTCTCATCTAACTCTACAAGAAAGTGAATAAGCTTACTTCCCAAGATGTTAAATTACTATTTATTTAAATTATAACCTTAAAAGTTAATTAAATGTTAATGTAAGTGTAGAGATAAGAACTAATTTAACTATTCACGCTTAACTTTTAGTTGAATTCAAAATTTGTCATTAGAGTTGAAAGAAATTGTCTGTATGCCTCACCACCACTTGTGGTGGAAAATTTGATTTCTGGAATAGGATGCACAGATCATTATTTACATTTCATGATATAGTGCTAATTTGACACAATGTTATGAAAACTTTATTTGAGAATCAGTCCATTGCACTGGCTGTGAAAAACCCATTATGAGACACACGCTGACCTTGTTCCTCTAGTCTTTCACAAAACTGGACTCGACAAAGAACTCAGTACTCTCCCCCTCACAGACTCATTCACTGCTCTTCCAGGGTAATGAACCCTGGCGAGTAATAGCTCCCACAATAATTCCCACAACATAATAGTGGAGGCTAAATGCACCACAATCACTCTGGGCTTTTTATTAGTGGTTTTCAGAGCCAAAAAAATGCTAAAAATCATCCATCTTTTGTTCTTACTATAGCTCACCTTGATCCCATTCAAAGGAAAGGACAGTCTTTCGATGTAGACTGAAGACCAATTATGAAACTGGGCTGCACTGAATATTTCCCCATAAATTGGAAAATAAAATAAAATTGAGTTTTGGTATAAAAGCCATGGTCAACCATATTTTCATAGTTTTGCATTGGTACCAGTTTCATACAGGAAAAAAATATCAAATCTGAAAATCTGTGCTGTGTTTTAAGAAATTTAACCTACATGTTAAGTTTTACAGGGGTTACTAGTACTAGAGTAATTTCTGCCACACTCTTTTACACAGATTGACAGAGTCACACCGAAAAGCCATCCGGGTGATCCAGAGAATGCGTTATTTTGTGGCCAAGAGAAATTTTCAGGTAAGCATGATGCTATTTTATAGCTACTAACTTTTTCAACTTATACATACCAAACCATGACCAACATGAAACATTGCCTTTGCAATACTTGTAATACAGTAAAATGTAATGTCCTATAACAACAGTATTTTCCAAAACAAAAACAAAGCTCAAGCAAGACAGATACTGCAAGTAATGTTTTCATGACTAGGAGTTAAAATGTCTTTGATGTAACTGTTCTAAACATTCTTTTGTAGCAAGCTCGTAAGCCGTATGATGTGCGAGACGTTATTGAGCAATACTCCCAGGGTCACCTGCACCTCATGGTGCGAATCAAGGAGCTGCAGAGAAGGTAAACTGCTTAAAGCAACTACAAGGAACTTTCAATCTTTCGATCCAGCTAGCATTTGTTTGGAAGCAAGGGAAAGAAATGCACAACATATTTGTACTTATTTAAACACAGCTGTTTGCAGGACATATAGGGGTGGCAGGGGCTCAGGAGGTAGTGTGACACTGAACCCCAAATTGCTCCCGATGCTGTGCCATCAGTGTGTGAATGAATTAGTTTCTGTTCTGAGCCTCGTATCAGTGTATGAATGTGTGTGACATTTAGTATAAAGCACCAGAAAGGCTTTTAACATAGCGATGAGGTCATGTATCTATTTGCGGCTATAAGATTAATAACTTACTTTGTTTTTCTGTTCATACACCTAGGTTACAAGATGTAAGCCTCCAACTAACTGATTCGGTTGCTATATATTATAGGCTAACAGCAAGATATAGTTCAGTAGCAAGGCCAAACCAGAAAAAGAAGCCATTGGTATTGCAGTATTATCCACCATGACCTGTCTCTCCATTCCACGTCTCACAATGTATTTCATAAATAAAAGATATAGAACATTTTATAGGAAGAAGAGTGCCAATCCATGTTCGGTTTTGAAATCCTTTCAAATCTGAAATTCTCTCCAACTGTTGAATGACCGACCAAGGTTGCCTCGCCTGAGCTTTGTGACTGTCCCTTTGCAGATCCTGCCCCAGTATCAGCCGTAACCACTGTCACAACCCAGCTCAAGGCTGGACAAAGAAGGGGAGAACACACATGAGTTGTAACTAAAAATAAGTTTATTTTATATAGCTAAAAGAGAAATGAGGCTAAAGACAAACTAAATTCAACCAAACCAAACAGGGTGAAACCCAAGGGAGAGAGCGAGACCGGCTGATTGCCTCCAGCCTATATAGTCTAGCCACCAGACCAAGTGAACTGAATCTTGCTGATGACCTGACTCCACCCACCAGGCTCTGAGGGAGAAACCTGCTCAGGGGGTCATCACACCACAAAAAATAATTCTGTCAAGAAAAATCTCCTCCTGCTCCCTTTTAACTGGCTAACCTACTACTCACTGCGAATGTAGACATAGGCTAAATGATTTTGCCTGATTTTGAGGGGAATCTGACCGAATCTGACCCGGTGACAGGCATTTAGAATACCCATAGAAATAGCCTCCCTGATATTCTCATTTGCTTATGTAGGTCATAAACTGACACTGTTTTGTAACCAATTAAAAAAGGAAGGGTTTTATATGAATTCGATTGCTCAGACAAATGGTAGATGTTTTTTGCAAGCATGACAAAAAAAATCATGAAAGCAAGGTAGTAGGGGGAGTGATAGAGCAAATACAGAAACTGTGTGTACATGTGTAATCTTCTGACTTGAGCCTTCCATTGTTTCATTCAGACTGGACCAGTCTTTAGGGAAGATAACTTTGTTCCAGACAGGCTCAGGTAATTAATCACTCCACTGCTCTCTCAAAATACAATACAGTAACTATGGAACAAACCATTGCCCTAATCCTCCTGTCTTATTATTTGTTTGACTATTGTCTCTCTCTGAAGACCGAGCCAGAGACAAAGGCAACAACTCTATCGGATCCAGACTCAACAGGATGGAGGACAAGGTGGGATTTGTGCAACTTCACTAGAAAACTAGAGTGATATTCCCCTGCCTTTTATTGTTTCAGATCATATTTTTTTGTTTGTCAAACTCATAGATTTACATGACCATGTTTGTCTTGTATTCAAAATTTAAACTTGTGAGCGTCTATCAAGAGGATATTAACAGTACTGTGGTTGTTTCACTTATCGCACAAATTGTGAATCGTTTTGGATAATGCAACAAAGGTTCAACTGGCTTTATCTGCTGTGATATGAAATATCTGTGCATAGACATGTGGCCCTGTTATTGTTGATTCAAATATAAAACTTTGAACAGCTTGTGCCAGTTCTGCAGCGCAAAAAGAGAAACCATGACATTGTTTCTTTCATTTCTTTTTAAGATTGTCACAACAGAACACAAAAACTAAAAAAAGTTGAATCAGAATCTCCCCAATTCCCTCACCGAGTGTGACTTACATTCCAGCCTTGCAACCAACCAAACAAAATTCATTTCTTGTCATGAAAGGAAGTTCAGTTTTATTTGTTATCAAATGGAAAAAAAACCTTTCTTTTAACTAATTTGCAATTGATATGTGTTTTTAGAAATTTCTATTGTTGAAATATATATTTTTTTGATGTTATGTAATTAAGACCATGCACAATACAGCAGTAAAATCATTTTGATAATGAAGGTTAATACTATAATGGTTTTCGTCACACCCAGGGTAATTAAATTACATGAAGGACATAATTGTAACATTATCATTCGTTTGAACTCACTAATTATCCTCAAGTACTTGATTTAATTTGAATGAGTCAAAAGCATAATGGTTGTGCAGACCAGAAGTAATGACTCCAAATCTGAGCCAGTATGTTATTTTGTTTTCATTTGTCAATATTTAATTCAACTATCATAGATAACACACATGGACCAGACGCTAAACCGTGTCGCAGAATCCCTGGCCTTCCTGCTGGACCAGAAGGACGTCGGCGAGGGCGAAGGTGGAGGCAGGCAGAGGCCACGGGTTGGACGGGTCTTTAATGTCCTCCCCAGCCAGGACAGCCTGCCAAGCTACGACCAGCTATCTTCATCACCTTCATCCTTCTCCTCCAACACCGCCAGCACCGCGGTCTTCCCCAACCCTCCCCTCAGCACCACCGCCAGTCAGGATGAGAACTGCTGAAAATTGCTCAAATTTCTATCTACTATGTATCTATCTATCTATCTATCTATCGCGTATCTATCATAATTTTTCTATTTTTTCTATATCGTTATCTATCTATCTATGCAAAGTGCAAAGTTCCCTCATTTCACTAGATAGATATACTATTTGCCTTTTACGTGATACTGAAATTAAGGTTAATGTCAACGACATTGCCACTGCCACGGCGTAATGTGCTGATATTCAATATTCAATATTCTTGTCAAATAACAAATTGCATTCATCTTTGGAGAGAGGCCTTACATTTTAAAACTTCACTTGAAAGTTTCACTTTAATCAAATGCTGTTTTCACCATTTTAATCCTATTTCACTTTTGTAACTAAATGTATTCTTTAA